CATGATTATGAAGTAGTCAACATTCAGGCGATGCGTGTGCAACTTAGAGCCAGAATGGTATGCGTCTGATAATGGATTGCAGACACGTCGTCATAATTTTACTTGATTATATGAATGCCCAGATATTGTGATAGTCTGCTAAGGCTTGGTATGTATCTTAAATAAAGCGATATAAATATTCTAATTCCAATCACATTGCGTATCGTATGGATTCCGACACTGCATGCTGACAAATGCAACAACGGATGCGATGTAAGGGTGCGCTTGACCGATCGTATAGACAATTAGGCTTCAAAAATCATTACATTTGCATATCTAGTACATTGTTTTGTCCTCTGTGTCCTGACTACTCGTCATCCTCAGGGTCTGAGCTCGTTTAAGTCTATGTCGTCATCTAGATGTTCGAGCGAGCGCTAGCGCTGGCATCAACAGACTTGCGCGGGGCGCAGTCTGCTAGGTGTGCTAAATACACTCATGTCTTCATAGCTGCGACTTGAGGAAATGTGGTGTAGAGTACTAGGTGAGTCTTCGAGTGTGCCGTTGGACCATTAGAATGATGAATCGCTGGCCGGATCTCAACTGTTACGATGATACAATGACTGAAACATTTATCTTTCCGTTCCATTCCTTGTATTACTAGCGCCCATACTGGCGCCTGTCTTAGCGCTCACCCGCAGGTTGAACATTATGTAGCTTACATAATGGGGTCCGTGCGCACTTCGTACTCGGCATCGTACCACTACATTCCTTTCTTCACTAACACGACCACATAGACACGATGGTCCGTGCGCAGTCGGTACTTGTATAAGTAGTTGTACCATTAGTCGGTCGAACCCTAAGTTCGACCTGGTTATTCATTCAAGTCTCTGCTCCTCTTCGCTTGGGGTAGTGGTCATTCTCGACTCCCTCGCTCGATCTTCAGGACGATGTACTGTCCACAAGTCCTCGCTCGTTGTCTACGAGTCAGGCATCGGTATAGGAGTATAGACCGTTGTATCAAAAGGTCGAACTTTCTAAGCTACGTTCCTAGTTTCACCTAGTCGAACAACTCATCCACCATCACGTCGAACAACGCAGTAAACCCGGTTCCCTTGGGACTACCAGCCCTCGCAGGATCTCCCCTTCTCCAGTACGACCGAGCAGACCGTTGCTTCGTCACCACCACAAGAAGGACTCCCATCTATCCTCGAGGCGGCTCCTGGGTTCGCGCAGAAGGCTCCAACCCGCAGATCGTTGCCCATCAACAGCTTGTCAGCTATTACCAGAGGCACCCTCCCGCTCACCCAGAAGACGTATTCGCCACCCTACGAATCAACGTCGAACCAGCACAAACAACAGAGAACCTACAGTCACCTGTTAACGAACAACTGTTCGAGCTCCCGGACGTTCAGTACATTCCCATCGAGGCTCCAGAACTACCACCAGCTCCACCTGCACCAACCAACGCACCGGTTGAAGTCCCTATGGCAACGTTCACTCAAGCAGACATCGATCAGCGCATCGCTGTCGCCCTTGCGGCATACCAATCCCAACAGTCAACTGCCAACCGACCCCTTCGCCTTGACATCCCCGCTCCCGAACCTTTCAGCGGAAAGGCGGAGGACCTCAGACGCTTCATCCAATGTGTCCTCTCCTACTTCGTCGCCACCAACAACACCAGACTTAGTGATGAAGCAAAGATCGCCTTCACTGTAGCGTTGATGAGGAAGGACCTAGGGAAGACATGGGCAGACGCATACTACGAGAAGTCGGCAGGGGGAGTCCAGGTCTATCCCGATTGGGCGGCCTTCGCCACCGCCCTTGAGGAAGTGTTTCCTGAGCACGGAACGCGAATCAAGGCGCACCAAATCCTGATGAAACTGCCCGAACAACAGAAGAACAAGAAGACGGCGCTCTCCCTTGGAAACTACGTCACCCGCTTCGAGCAGCTAGCATCGAAAGCCCAGCTCAAGGACGCCGAAGTCAATGGCGTCAACTGCACCGAGAACGACTACCACACTCTCCACGCCAACTTCGTCAAAGGACTTCCAAAGGAGCTCTATGTCTCTCTCGCAACCAGGGTCGCCAGAGACCGACCCAGCACCATGAAAGCCTGGTACGACGAAGTCCGAAATGCCGACGCCGCCGAACAAGGGGCCCTCACTGTCACAGACACCAGGGACTATGGCGAGCCAATGGATATCGACGCCGCTGCAGTCGCGGCAACCTTTGCCTCC